GGCGGCGGCGGCGGCGGCGGCGGTGGCGGTCACCTAGATATCGGCATTGTTATCCCGCCTGACCGCAGCCACTTAACCGAGTCGTAAACCCCCTCCTACCTTCCCTCCCATCACGAGTTCAACTTTATCCTTCAACAGGTGTTTAGGGAAATACAATAATGTCGCGCATGCGCTCGTAACTTCTTAAGGTCGGAAAGTTCGTCCGAACAATCTGACCACGGCCATGCCCGCGGACCGTCACGCCATCCGCGTACCGCAGTTAATCGAGTTTCTCGGCTACTTGGGATTTTTTCCCCTGTATGTTCCCTTCGATCACACGGTTTTCCAAGGTGCAGAAAACGGAGAAAGTATTCGTAGAATGGTGTCTCATTGGTGCTCTTTTTTTTTTTTGTACGTCAAGTTGATATGAAGATGATAAATTGACTGTTGGGCTTCGTCGAGAAATTTTTAAATTTAAGTAAAAGTTAAATAGTTGCTATTTATTATTTTTCACTTTGTACGTTTTTTTTCTTTTTTGCATCGGGTGAAGAAGATTTTGCTTGATGCTAGATTAAGTAGAACGTTTGATGCATAGGAGAATGTTTGTTTAATTAGTTATTAGAATTGCTCTGTACTTTTCTAATGTTTTTAGATGTTTAAAAAAGAAAAGATATGAGAATTTAAATTCAAAAGATTGGATTCTATAGAAATCTGCATTATCGACGACGGATAGATCGGCACGATAGATAATTTAATTTACCGACGATGGTAAAACATGAACATCCGTCGGTAAAGGAATTACAGGGATCTATTCGGTATCTGACGCAAAGGTAGAGACCTTCTTGCGTGTTGCATAGTTGTATCTGTCTACTCAGATGGCATTCAAACGTACAAACGTAGGTGATAACTGCCGAATTAGATATAAAAATAGAAAAATTATAGGAAATAAGATATATTTTATATAATTTTTTCGCTTCAAACATGCGCTCGTCATGTTTGTTCAATTTTATTATATAGAAACTAATCGATCAAATGGAACACGTAATTTTGTCTTAATTTTCCAACTAAACCAATTTTCATGTAATAGCAACAGGATACATTAACGTAATGTATTCTAATAAATTCCCTGGAATCGATCGTCTTTCTCCCTACCAGCTTAACTATTTAAAAGTTAGATTGAATTTTTAACTACGTCGCACGTTGGTTTCAGACATTAAACGGCGCCGAGGGTACCGTTCCACCCGGAAGAGTGTACAAGAAAGTCGCCATCGTGGAGAACTTCTTCGACATTATTCATGCTGTTCATGTTGACCTTGAGGGTCGTCCAGGGAAGCATGCCGGTCAAAAGAGAACGTACAGGACGGTGAGTTTCACACAGAAATATCTACTTACGCGTTACTTTCCCGTTGGAGTTGATGCGTTTACCTACCGAGAAAACTTTTCCAACTTGTGGCGCACTTTGCGCGTGAGATTCTTCAAACATTTCATTCAAGCTAAGAAATTGACGCAATCGAAAATATTTTTACGAAATAGATTGACAATTTGTTTAAAGATTAAGCGGACAATCCAAGATGTTTGAAATGATACAAATACACCAACAAAACTTTAAAGAAAAAAATTCGTTGCGTACTCTCAACTCGGTATTATACTTTTATAGACTTCTGATCATTCCAGCGAATACTTGAAAAGTTCAACGTTACTTCAGAACAAAATCCTACGATCTTCGTGTAGCATGGAACGCGCTATCCAAAAGACCGAAATAACTCAAATCTCGAAATCAGTCTCAGGCGAATCGAAACAATTTTTCCGTCCGCTATATTCCGAGCGCGATTCGAATTCAATCGGTGATCGGGGACCTCCCCAGAGAGAGTGAGAGAGAGAGAGACATATATCGATGCGTGGGCGGCGATGACCCCGAATCCGTTCGGGATGGTGCGAGCCGAATTTTTGCATGGCCGACCGCGACACGCGATATTTACAGTTCCCGGGAGAGAAGGCATCGAGGCATTCAAGCGTCGAACACTCGATACCACACGTCATCTCACGTGTTCTGGCACGCGTTTGCGTAAACCTCTGTCTCTCTGTCTCTCTCCGGGGTATCATATCTGTTCCGTGACACACCCGTCCTCCGCGCCGCGACCCGATCACTGATTCACCCTCTTTCTCCGCTTGTCCATTCCTCTTTCTCCCCGTTCGCAACCCCTCCGACCTTCCCCCTCATCCCTTGCTCGTCCCTCTCGCCACCCACCCTCTATCCCATTCGAGTCGCGTTGCCGTCCTCTTTCTCTCTCTCGGCCGCCGCGCGCGATCTGCTTGTGATTCAAAACCTCAGGACACTTGTTGCATTGCCTGCTGCTTACTGGTGCACCCACACACGCGGCCGTGAGGTCGCGCGCGCACACGCACGCACGCGTGCACCGGCCACCAGCTCAGCCTAGCGCCGCGACCCTGCAACCGTTTTAACCGTTTAAGTCGCTGTTCACAAGGCGCGATTCATCGGCTCGCGGCGACTCCACCCTCCGCGCGCGCCAGCCACCCCTTCCTCGCGTTTCTCCCGTTCCGTCTCGCGATTCACCACCCTTTCCGGACGGATGATGTTTTAACGCTGAGATATATGACTCGCGTCCGACTCGGCACCCTTGTTTGCGAAAACTTGGCAGGTGCAGGTTGTTCTCTCTTTTCCAGTTTTTGAAGGAAGTTGAAAATGTTTAGTAAAACGTAAGAGAATTCTGAACAATATTAATGCCGGATAAATTAACTGAACTTTTAAGTAGTTAAAAACGACTAATTTTTAGATAGAAATCCTAGCAAATTTCGCAACCGTGCGTCTTTTTTTTGTGAAATATGTGTAAAAAAATCACGTGTTCTTTAGTGTATCGTTCTTGTATTTTCGTTGTCGCTCAACGAGTTGCTCTTTGTTAATTGATGTCAACAACAATTTGGAATACTGAATTTTCGAGTATCTGATTTTATCATTTCACAGAATCAAAATTCTCTGTCGTCTTTATCAAGTAAGATGCGAAATAAAATGTAGAGAATAAAATTGGAGATGAGTGAATCACTATGATCATCTTCATTGAGCTATACATATCAATTGTTACGGGAGCCTTTTCCCTACATCTAAAATACCTATATGTGGGTTAATGAGTAATAAAAATCACATCACACGAGCCACAGTTTATTAATCGCCCTTCATTTCCTTCGCTTCGTGAAAGATGTAATCGACTCACGCAAAAGTTGTTGCATGCTATCGAAGTTTAAAATTTACACCCTAACGTGTAATTTTCAATTAACTGTAACAATATCTTTCGACGTGAGAAACGTACGTTAACCGACATCTGAAACATCGTTTCTCCGTTCATTTCTATTTCTCAAAACTATCTCATTTTATTCGAGCATGATTCTAAATTGTACTTCCAAGGAAGCCAAAAATTGTTGACTTCTTTCTGATCCATTGTTCCACAAGTAAAATTCAAGGATACAAGTTTCAAGCTGAAAAGTAACACTGGTAAAATTATGCTTATAGCTTGACAAAGTTTAACCAAATATAATCTTTCCCTTCAAGTCGATCAGAGCAATTGCACACGTTTGTGCCTGCGAGACACAGTTTTAAAATTCCTTCCGCGTGAAAATCAATGTCTCCGTGTAATTCCGCCGATACACTCGCCGGTAAACTATTAACATTTGACCCCGAAGAAATCTGATTCGAACAGTCGTTCGTTAGTCTGAGAATGTTCGTCGTCACGTAGATCTGAAAGCCACATTATCCGTGTTTCTGAGTCGCCGCTCTTTTCTTCGTCTCGCGGACGAGACTCGAAGTAAATCTTATCGAATTACTTGAGCGTGCCTTCATCCACCCGCGCGCGCACACGTGTAGGCACACCTATACACGCCTACTTTGCGAACGTGTACGCGCGGCGTCGACCATTGCCTTTCTCGGCTCGCAGCCACCCATCCTTGATTAAGTTATGCC